TGTGTGTGTGTGTGTGTGTGTGTGTGTGTGTGTGTGTGTGTGTGTGTGTGTGTGTGTGTGTGTGTGTGTGTGCCATTTTTCAAGTAGTCTTGAACTGATTGGGCCTGTATTGGGGTTCCATTTTTATACATCTAAAAATCTTAGGACTAGTTGAGATTAAGTGTTCTGTAAATCCTGTGAAAAGGATCACTCGAGAAAGATGACACCTAGGATTTTCAAAATGTTTCCATAGGTGCATCCACTAAAAACCTTGGATGCATTCGATTATCGTAACCTTGGCCTTTAGGTGACCAGAAGTCAAGTTTTGTGAAAGTCTTGTGAATACAGTAGCTGAAATGAGGTGATGTAGGATTTTCACATTTGTACTAAAGGTGCATTTACTTGAAGATGAGGGGTAGCTCTGGCAGCAGCTTTTTTTTTTTTTTTTTTTTAATACTACTTGTCATATCATTGCATTTTCTTTAGTTTCTTTTGCATTAGCTCTGATTGTGACTAACAAGCTCTTCCATTTGGTGTTGACTAAGTGAATTAAATTTGAGTCCTAAAATCTAAAAATGGTGCTTAAATCTTTACGGCAGTGATGTAGAACTGTTCACTCGAACCTTAGATCCAGGCTGAATCGCTTTTTGCAGGACTGGTAAAGGGAATTATTTTGTGCCACTGTGTAAAAGGTTCTTCATACTCAGACTTGGAAGTCTCACACTACATTGCTTAGGAATTTTAAGTATTGGGAAAATAAAGTTTTACATAAACACAGCAATGTATGAAATAAATTACATTTATGTAGCCTCAACTGTGCAAGATTTCTTTCTCAGCAATAATGTAAAATTCCTTTGGGCTCATTTCTGTCCACGGATTTCCCATGGGCTTGCCAGAAATGATGAACAGGGTTCCTGACAGCTGTGTGAAGTTGTGGAGGAGGAAACAGCTTTAGCATGGATGAGTCATGTCTGACCTTTGACAAATACCTCTGTCAACCTGTCTGTCCATCTGCTTCTCTAATCTTTTCTTCCACTTTGCTACTGCACTAATAATAGACTGTACCACCTGTAATCTCCTTTGCTGAAGCAGATATTCAGTATTTTTTTCCAGTCATGCACAGATGCAACATAGCCCTGGAAATGTGTAGTCTGTTAGTCACGTCAGTACAAAGTCAGAAGTAATGCTGAGAAGGTTAAAGATTTATTTGTTGGATACTCAAAGACATTTTGCAACTGGTTTTCTACAACATGATCTAGAAAAAATATTGCTTATATACAGAAATGTTGTTTATTTCTTTGTGCGGGGCAGATACTTGCCAAAAATCATACATTGATAAATCATCAACAAATCAGGAAATGTGTTCCTTACATGGACTTTCCTTCTTTCTCTGTTAATCATAACTCTTCAAATTCAGCCCTGAACTCTGCTGAAATTCCTGTGCCACAGAATTAAAGATTAAAAAATGCATACATATTAGCATTTGCAGATTTTTAAAAATCGTCTTTACCAATCTTGGCTCACGATGCCGTCTCATTTTTGTGTGGCAATGCTGCTGTGGTCGCAGTTTTTGTCTCCAAACTTTCCTGACATCTGTGGTCTGAGCATCATGCATCTCCTTTCACATTGCCAATTTTTCTGGCTGGTTCCTCGTTTTGGATGCAGACAGACTCTTTAATTAAAGCCAATGTCATTGCCTGTTGATTCTTGGATGTGCCTGTTGATGCCTCATATGTGTGCTTATTCGTTAATTAAATGCTTGCCCTTAGACTTATTCCAGAGTTGAAAGCAATATGGAAATTTTATTGGGGCCAAGATTTGAAGGGACCGTTATTAAGGTTTTGGTGGAAAGTAAGTAGGGTTCAAACATGAAAAGGAAAAGCGATGCAAGTCTAAAGGATAAAGGTACTATATTCTCAGAGTTTTAAGAACATCAAACATTAGCAATAGCCACAGATTTTAACTTGTGTGAGTGATAGTAACAGATGATCTTGGGATAATTTACATGCAGTGTCACTCTCTTTGGATCAGAGATGCTAGCATTTTGATTTATTGAGAGCTGGTTGAATGTTCCCAGCTGCCTGTTTACTGCCAGTGGCATTGGCATACCTGCTTTCTCATTTTGGAACCATCACGTGTTATTGCCTCAAAAAAACCTGTGGAAATCCAGTTTGTCTGGTTAACTCTATTTTACTTTAAAGGTCATTAATGGATTGTTCATTCTTCATTGATGCTCCAGTTCTTTGTGATCCTGTGCAGCAGGCCTTTAATTTAATGTTATTTGCTATAAATTTTTTTTTTTTTTTTTTTTAAGATTAAGGCTTGTAGCTTGTTTTGTGCATACACACTAGAGCTGACGATTTGCTTCATAGTCCAGTCGTCCTGTTGCCCCTCATGGTATCTCCAGTGAGTGATGGCATCGCTGCTGGGTGCCAGAGCATCATACCACTGTGGTATCCATGTGTATCCACTCGATATAATATGTACCCTGTTGTGGTTTTACTATATCGCCCCCCTCTGTGTTGCAGGTATTGGTTATATGTGGAAGTGGGACACTGTAGCTTGGCTTTTTTAAAAATTATTATGAATCTCAGAACAATGATAATATTATCGATTTATTGCATCAGTGGGTAAACTGGAAAAAAATAGCCTTGACTGGTGAGCTATCACTATTAACCTTTTGACCGCCATCGATCCCTGACATCATCCTCCATCAGCACGACTGTAATGCACACATGCAAGGTTGTTTTTCCATCTCCACCTCCTGAGTCATACTGTTGTTTAGCATCTTCTGGCTGGTGGCCCAGGCTATGATCTCTGCCTCCCTGTGGATGTTTGACAGGAAGCCAACAAGAGTGTCACTCCCTATCCTCATCTGTCTCTTCCCTTGTCCTTCAGTCCCTATCATTACTGTCAAGGTGGTCCTTAGACATACAAAAGGAGCTTGCCAAATATAATTGTCTGAAAAATAACTTCCAAACGTATAGCGTCTTGCAATTTAGACATGCAGCTTGCTTTTGTCACATAACTACTCCACACAAGTATTTTTTTTTATTAAGTATTTTAGTTTTCTAACTAGGCCAATTCTCTTACTTGGTCATTAGTCACAAGATTCATTGTCCCTCAGGCTTTCAGTCTCTTGCTCATATGAATTCAGCTAAACAAATGCACATACAGTAGAATGTGTCTGAACAAATGCATTCTTTACACTCCAAGTTCAGACTTATCTGTAGGGTGTAATAAAGTGACAGTGATATTTACCTGAGAGCACAAATTGTGCCATAGCCTCCAGCATACAGGAGGCAACAATAAAAAAAAAAAATAAAAAAAACACAACACAAGAAACAATTCTGAATAAGCCTTAAACAATGACAGTGCAGATTTCATTATTTGAATAGGCCCAGCAGTTTTTAATGGTCTGCTAACTACTGCTGTGTATTCACATTATGGTTCTAAGATTATAGCGCCAGCTGGTTAATTTCTCCATATTACGATATAATTGAAGAGCACAGAGTAGTCATCTGTTCAGGTTTTCAGCTAAAAGTTACTTTGTCTTCTTCTGTCCTGCAGGTACAAGTTGATTCGTCGACGAGTCATCTGGCTAATAGGGCAGTGGATTTCTGTCAAGTTCAAATCTGACCTTCGACCTTTACTCTATGAGGTCATCTTAAGTCTCATGCAGGATCCCGACTTGGTGGTAAGGCAGCTACATACAGTTTTTTTTTTTTTTTCCCCACTCAAAAGTGCTTGGTGATTAAAGTGCCAGGTTCTCTTACAAAAACCCCTCCTGTTCAGTTCATAATGACTGAAATGGGCTGTTAGTGAAAGTGCACAGCCGGCTACACAAACACAGTTTTCTGCTTAATAGCGTGAAACCAAAGCCACTGTGCTGCCATCTTTCTACATAAAAAAGCCAAATGTAATCAGAGTTTGTGACAAGCTTTTTCCATCTTTTTTTCTCAACTTACTGTTTACTGTAGATTTTATATTTTGAATTTTTCCTTTACTATCCACTAACATTTTTATTTAGCTGTGGCCTTGACAAAACCATAACCCCAATTTGGACTGAGTTTCACCGTAAGGTAAAATTAGATTAATCATCTGATATGCTTTCTGCCTAATGCACTTGATTGTTTTCTTTTAACATAATTTATATCTAGTAATATGATAACATTTTAATTAAAGTTAAGATTTTAATACTTAATCTCCAAACAGCCAGAAATGTGATCAGGGATTGGTTCACTCAAGAGGTAGCAGTTAAATATCATTTTCTGTGTCCATTAACTGACACTCAATTATCATCTGTCATGTTGTGGGGGTATGATGTTGAATACAAAATACATTTCATGTATATTGAGTAAAATTCATTGCAGATTGCTGACTTTTCTTTGCCAGTAGGTGGCTAAATAGGATAGTTACTCACTATTAACAGAGATAGATTTGTGTCTGTATGTAGACTGGAAAATGTACTGCGCATTTGAATTTCAACAACCTTCTATTAAGTTGTGAAACACTACTTAATGCTCTTAGAGAAGTTTGTTCAGTGTTCAAATACAATTCAAATAGCGGACACTGAACAAATCTAGAACATGTCATTCAAACGGGCTCACTTTTTGTGGAACTGAGTGTTTCTATCCGTTCCTGTACATGCAACAGGAGTTGTCAGTCATTTTTATAGGTTAGAATTTAGAATAAAAACGTGTGTACTTTAGGGCTGCCACGATTAGTCGATTAGTCACGATTACGTCAACTATCAAAATCATCGACGACTAATTTAATAGTCGACGCGTCGTTTGAAGCTTTGTAAGACGTAGGAATAAGTAGTAGGATTTAAGAGTGTAATAACGGACTGAAACAGAGAAGAAGAAGAAGCAGTGTCCGGTATCGTAGCTGTGTCCAAATTCAGGAACCGCATCCTCCTGTGCAATTGTAGGCCGATTACGTTACAGCGACATGACGGAGACTGTCCAAATTTGAAGACTCCGACAAATGCGGCCTTCGTTTCCCCAGAGGAAACAAGGATGGGTCGGGTGTATACTTTGTGGCCCAACCTATCCCAGAATTCATAGCGCTGCCCTGCTCAGTTTCCAATGGCGGCAGCTAGTTAGTTTTAATATTACTCTTATTATTCTTTCTGGGTCACAAAATAAACGTTTAACATATTTTCAGGCGAGAATGTAGCTGTGTAAACCTCAAATATCTGCTCAGTTTATCAAGACACCACATATTTTCAAAAGCGTCCCGACGAGCTCGATAGCTTGCCGGGGGCAAAGCTCACTAGAGCTGGTGAGAACACCGGACTCCCGGCAAATCATTTTCAAACCCATCACCGTCTTTCGCTACTCAGGTTAAACATGATATATAAGTCACTTAGATAACCTAAAAATGTTATTGTTTGGCTGTTTTTAGTATTTTATTTGTTCCTGATTAAATCAGTTTGGCTGAGATTAAAGTTGTATTTTTGCACAGCTGAATAAACGTCAAGCAGACAGCTGATTATCAGAAGTGTGAGATGCTCGAGAATATACTCCGGTGTCCCGTTATATTTTAGATAGGAGGGAAGGAGCAGACGGCTGTTTCATTAAAATTTAATAAACTATCATCTTGTCTTCATTTTTAGTTAGCACTTAAACACTTAAAGCTGTATGCTAATGATAGTTATATAAGAGCTGATGCATGCTGGTGCAATAATTAGTGACTAGTCGACTATCAAAATAATCGTTTGTAGCAGCCCTAGTGTACTTAGCAATTTGCTTTATGAGGTGGGTGTAGGATATATTAAAATTTTTGCAAATTTGTTTTTACATGAAAAGGCCCAACTTCCATGTCAAATATTCAATGGTGGGGAGAGTTGCGTCTATAGCTATGACCCAGATAGGCAAGCACAAGTCTATGCCGTGCAAAAGCCTGCAGTCTTCTTGACTAATAAAGGCACATCTGATATGCCAATTGATGAGCACTGCTGTAATCCCTCAGATGTCTTGGGGAGTACAAATATCAAAACAGTTGTAACAGTTTCAACTCCCCACCACTCACACTCGCACAATCTGCTGGCCTCAGATTTGTCTTTGTTCTACCGAAACAAAATTTAAGTTGTAGTGAAGTGAGCCTCAAAATGATGTCATGATAGATCAAGGAAATTTGCTATAGTGATATTCTTGGCAAAACAGGAGGGGGAAAAAATAGCTTGATAATGTTTTCAGTGATTGTAGCTTGAAGGCAGCATTTCATAGTTCAAACAGACATGTCTTGTTCTGCCTCTTAGGTAGTCTAAATGTGTAGCGCCACTATATCAAATTTAGCCTAATTGAAATCACTAATGATTTTTGCTTTTTAAAGGTCCAGCCTGAACTTTGATCATAATTTGTGTGGTGTTACCTTATATACGTTTGGCTGCTTTGATCCAGATGTTGTGCACAGATGGTTTTTATTGCACTTAAAAGAATGCGCACTTAATGTGATAATTTAGTTACATGCCAGTATTATCTATTTTACTCTTATTTACACCCTGTGTAGGTAAATGGGTTTTGTAAATCGTTTGTGATATAAAGTAGAGATTAATTTCAGTGCTGTTACCATTTCAGCGGCATTTCCTCGTACAAACTTGCATTTACATAACTGACCAGCTCACTAATCATGTTGTAGTTCCTGATCAGTATCTTTCGGGGCCAATTAGAAAGTCTTTACCTGAATGAATTGTTAATCAAACCTCGAGACTTATAAACAATCTAAGTTGTTAATATCCTTGTTGCTGCTCTGTTTTCCTTATTAACATGGAAAGTTATTCACTTATTTAATTATGACATCTTGTGTCCAAAAATTAGACTGAAGCGCCTTGTCATAGTCGCATTGTATTTAAAAGATAGATGTAGGAGCTCATGCTGCAGTGCAGCAAACTCTTCATTGTTATGGAAAAAGGAAGCCCATTTGGTTGCATAAAGAAGTCTAATTGTGCAGAAGTCTATGGGAAAAACAACATGATCTGTGACCTGTAATACTTTCCCGATGAGTTAATGGCCTCAGTCATTGTACTGAATGCAATATGATGAGCTTTTTTGTAATTTATGGTGCCATTTACTGTTAGAAAGGGTGATAAGGCAGTGGCCCTCGGTGTCTTGATCAGATTAACATTTTGATTATCACAAGCATGCTCTCTTAAATAGTTTCCGCAGACTTCTGTGGTAGTGTTGCACACTCCGGGAGCTTTATATGTGAGACAGCCATCCATGCACATGCTTTATTAGCATCCATCAGTGGCATTCATGAGCTAAATCACAGATCACAGATGCATATTACTTGGATTGTGACAGTTTTTTTTTTTTTTATCTCCTCATTTTCTTCAAGGTGTTCTAGTTTTTGCAGCATTCTTGTTTGTTTACTCACAGAGTCTTAGTAAAGGTTAAAAATAGTCTTGTGGTGAGTTTAAGCTTTTAACTCCTTAAGCTTTTACACATACATACACATTGTAACAGTTGCTATTGTAATGCAGTGTATCACCACATGGCGGCGCCTCCTGTCTCACGACTGGTGCCACCCCCTTTTTGTTTTTCTTCGCACTCCTCCTGTAATGGATGCTCCCGTGTGTACGCGGACTAGTGTGCTCTTTAGTAATGTGTGGTAGAGGTAGCACTTTTATTTTTGATATTGTAAATAAATGAGTACTTTTTGGAAAGTCAGAAGCTGTTGCTCATTCGCTATCCACCTGCACATCTCTGTGGCTGGCTTCATCTCCACCGCACGTTACAACATACATGTATTTATGTGAACACTAATCATTAATTTGTATTATAATGATGTATTATAAAGCAACTTAACTCATCGGTAACTACAAATTGTGGAAATGGCTGTTGCTTATCTGCCAGCATTTTTTTTAAATTAACACTTAGAATTTTTCAGTGAGCACTGGCTGAAATATTTTCCAGAAGAGGATATGCATTTGTGTTACTTAATATGCATGTAGGTTTTTTAGATGATGCTCATTATCATTTTACTCCAGATGATTGTTTTGGATTTGGTGTTGCTTTTTCACGTTACTTTTATCTTAGTCAGATTCACTGAGTTGGTTAAATGTAAGTTTTCCCTGGTTAGACCTTCAGTTACTTTTATAGTTGGCATAAATCTGATGAATTTTATTTTTATTTTTTTATTTTTGGCTTCTTAACCCCTCAGATATTTTGAACATCAGTAACATTTTAAAGTGAATGTTTCATGTAACAGTGTCGGACAATACGTATGTTTTTGTATAAGA